TTTAGGTGTCTAATGGCATTTTTGAGCAAGCATCTCACGGAACGATGACATTTTTCAGTAGTTGTAACTTCTAATGGAAAAACTGAGTAGTGGGACACAACTAGTGGCATAAATGATAAAAACCCTACTTCAAAACATCGACAAACTGATACCAAATTCCTGATTGGGGGATTGGATCCGTTGAGTAAAATAAATGGCTTCAAATGTTGATATTACTCTTTCCCTCTGATGTTACTGTTACTGTTTGAACAACTTAATTAACGTGGATGATCATCATGTGGTAAACTGTCTGATCGACAGAGTTCATTACTTTGAATTCTCATTTTCTATTTTTACAAACCTATTGCTTCCTGGTAACTTGAAATTTCTTTATTGTATGTAGTCCACATGAATTTGTTTAATGATACACCATACAGTTAGGATTTTAATCACGATGACCTAACATGACTATGCCATCTTTTTCCAGGCTTCCCAAGACAAGAAGAGCTTGGATGTGGGTGCGAATCTTTTTATTGGCAATCTTGATCCGGTAGAAACCTAAAGCCCATTTTCTCTTATTACTTTATATTCATATTAATATATGTAGCTAATAGTTTTGTGTTTGCTTTGTCAACAGGAAGTCGATGAGAAGCTTCTCTATGATACCTTCAGTGCATTTGGTGTGATTGTGACCAACCCTAAGGTGACAATTATATAAACTTTCTGCATTTGGCTATGTACTTGCTAGCTAATTATCTCACGTCACAATGGGAACTGATTTCATCAGCATTAGCCTCTTATTACAATCTCCAGAATCAAAGAAGAGCAATCGTTATGCTTAAATTAACCTAATATTATTGCATTTGCTTGTTTGGTAGTCTTCCTTGCTTCAGTGTAACACTTATCTGGTAGCATCTTCTTGATTTAAAATTACCCTACATGCTCCCCGCACTGTTCCTTTAATTATGCCATGATAGAGATTGAATGAGTTAAATATTCTATTCCCTTTACCCTTTGCATATTTGACGCAAATGCATGTTGGTGTCATGACTGTCATATTTTGAACTTCCTTTTTCAAGATAATGCGGGACCCTGAAACTGGAAATTCTCGAGGTTTTGGCTTTGTGAGCTATGATTCCTTTGAATCATCTGATCAAGCTATAGAGGTAATGTCATTCACGCAATACTGCTCTATATTTTGGCTTATTGTGATTCTGCCATATGTTTCAACTGTTACCTTTGCTGTAATTTCCCAGGCCATGAACAACCAGCATTTATGTAATCGGCCAATCACTGTCTCATATGCTTACAAGAAAGACACGAAAGGAGAGCGCCATGGCACACCAGCAGGTATTGTATTTCGAAATATCGGTTGAGCTAGTTGTTTGGTTTCTTGTACAATAACATGGATCAGCTATTGCTTATGTTGAAAGAATATTGAAGTTGGTTGTCTAATCTTTATTAGGTTGTAACATTCTGGACATCGACTCTATAGATTGCTATACTTCTCCAAATCCCCGCATTAAAAAAAACCTGTTGTCTAATCTTGATTAGGTTGTTCCATTCTGGACATGGACTTCGATTGCTATACTTCTCCAAATCCCCGCATTAAAAAAAAACTGGACCAACAGGGACTTAACATATGTGGCGTCTTTATTAAGAGAAACAACCCAGATACACACCCTCCGGAGCTCAAGGCTCGAACGTGGGTGGCAGGCTGAGCATGCTGCTGTGTGCCACTGGCTAACTGGTTGACGCCCAGTTCCCTACATCCCAACATTTTTGCTTTGACATTTTCGGTTCTTTTTAGTGCACAGGTTTTCCACAGGAATCATACAGGTTTCCTATGGAAATTTTTCCTGTGATGTCTGTACGGTTTCCTTAGGGAAGGGAAGGTTTCTTATGTTTAATAGGGTAAACACAACATCCACCAAGACCAAAGGAAAAGCCCGTTCCTATGTTTTGGAAGCCTGTAGGTTTTAAGGTTGCGCTCCACCTAATTCCTATGCCTTTTTCTGTTCCTTTGTTTTGCGCTCCCATGTACCGAACGGGCCTTAGGGTTTCAACTTTATTCAAAGTGATTTCCTTTCAAGTATTTCATCATTTAGTAAACATGATGGGTCTTGATCTGATCTGTTGAAATTTTCCTGGAGGCATTTTTACTACCATATCACATGTTGTCACTGCTCTTGCCACCATTGCTGCCTATATATGCTGTAGACGGCTGTCTTGATCTGAAGATCTTATTATTACTACTTTTTCTTAACTTGTGATGACTTTCTTTCTTCAATCATAGTTTATTAACTCTGTTGTTATATGTTGGCAGAGAGGTTGCTTGCAGCGAACAACCCAGGATCTCAGAAGCATAGGCCACACACAATGTTTGCAACTGCTCCGCCAACCCAAGGGCTTCAAAACGGTGGTGTTGGTGCACCTGTGCCACGGCCTTTTGCCAATGGGAATGTCCCAGGACAGATGCAACATGTCAGACCGCCGCCGCCACCTGTTGGTCAATACCCTCCCATGCAGATGCATGGACAGCCTGCCTGGCCTGGTCCTCCACAGAATATGCAACAAGTACCACCTCCGATGCAACAGCAGCTTCAATACAGGCTTCCAGGGATGCCCCCGCCGCCGCAAAACATGATGCCCCCACCGCAAAACATGATGCCGCCACCTCATCACATGGCCAGGCTGCCGCCGCCACCTCCCAATATGCAAGCTCCACCTATGTGGAGGCCACCCCCATCCCCACAACAAGGTGGTGGAATGCCGCCACCTCCAATGTCCATGCCACCTCCTCCACCGCCACCTTCTGGTTAAAAATATAAATGGGTGTCTTCCATTGGGTTAATTTGGCGCGCAGCAGTTGTAGACCAAGGGTGTTAAAAGTCTTTCATATATTGTCATGTAACTTGCAGCACTAGGAGAATATCAGAATTGAGAGAATTAGCGGACGGTGATACAAAATGCGTGACTTTTGTGATTGCATGTGCGGTACCTGCCTTGTGTGGGTGCTGCTGCTGTGTGCTCTGCTTAGGACAATTATGGACCGTGATCTGTGCTATCTCTTACATTGTTATTACTGGCAGAATCGTGTTTTAAACAGGCCTCTCGTGATTGACAGTTGTTGCGCAACTTTCAGCTGTTTTCATGAAACAAGATGCACCATGCTGTTCTAATTTTTCTATCAAGTCATTGCAAGTTCGGTTGAAAAACATGTTTT